TCAGCAGTTCAGTAAAATCCCAATGTGTCTCATTTTCATCTTCCGTGCTTCATGCCTATTCCATTAAAACATTACGTCATTTTCAGGTATTTTAGTTGTACTGTGGTTGGTTGTCATTGTAGGACACTAAAAACACAATGACTCTGTCCAATCATGGAGGAATAAGAACAATCCAGTGTTTTTCATTGGAGAGGGTGCAGGTGGCTGGCTCCTGGCTTGGATGTTGCAGTCCAAGATATTTTTTCACGGGGGTGGATGAGGAGTTGTTTTCCTTTCTCCGTGGTTTAAGTCATCGCATAAAAAGACTAAATCTGGAAGCAATGAATCAAGTTTTGCTATATATATATATTGAGTGATGACATTAATCAGGGAACTGAAGCTATTCAGGAAATTAAGGATTTGTTGATTCTGTAAATAATTAACATTGGACAGTCGGGGTGGCTATAGCCACACCGTCCCCCCCCCCCCCGAACCACCCACTTAGATCCGCCCTTGTTGATACGAATTACTAATTCTCAAGTCTTTTAAAGCATATTGTTTTCTACTCGTAATGGTTGACAGCGCATGACGGAAATTGGTTGCTCAGAAAGATCCATCATTGCGAGAAAGTTCGTGGGAGACCATCGGCCTTTACGGAACTGAGAAGCGCTAAATGTTATTTATTCATGGCATGATTCACAAAGGTATCTTAAATAATGAAATGATATTTATTAATAGCAATGAAAAGAGGGCAATGAAGAACGCGCAAGACCTGTGCGTCATTATCCCGAACCCACGCAACACCGTGCTAATGATTGGGTCTGCTTGAAAATCACGGTATTAACGTAGCCCTTGTACAAGTTAAAGGGGCACTTCGAGTCAGGGGCGATGTTTTAAGCTCTAAAGGTGTTTCCTACAGAATGATAGTTGTTGGAAAGATGATTGAAAAGCACAATGAAAAAAGTTCACAGAACTTCATAGGGCCTATACCTTGAAAGTATCTCGCGGAGTTTCGAGGTACTTCATTTTGTTCCGCAAAAAAATCGAGCCTTCGAAAAAAAGTCTCCGGTTTCTGGTATGCGCGCGCGTCGCCGTAGCCATGCGCGTCGGCAAAATGAAAAAGGTTTTTTTTTCAATGAAAGATGATATCTCAAAACCGCCAAACTCACACGTTTGACTGGAATCCTGCTGCTGCACAATTTTAACGTGTCTTTAGATGGGGTTATGATCGAGAATAAGCTTTATGTGGCCTCTCTGGACTTCCATATATTTGCACTAAGTTTAGTCGGGCACCATTTGCAGTCATCAGCCGACATTTGAAGTAAAAAAGTCAGGTAAAAAAAAAAAGCTGCGTCGCCGCACCACTTTTTGGACAAGCTCCATACCAGAAACCGGAGACTTATTTTTTTTGGCCTTAGGCTAGTCTTGATTCCGGTCACACGTTGATTTTCAAAAACGTTGAATGCTGTCTGTTGTGGGACCTGATTTGCTGTGCGGCTATGATAAGGACAGCTTTGGCTGATATTATTAAATAGTTTAATTCACTGCTGGAAATACGTAAAGGCAATCAGGCAACAAAACAAAATATGTCAAAAGGAAGGAGTTCTCATCATTTTCTCCGTAAATGTGAGACATTATGTCCATTGGCCCAGATCATAAATCTTGGCGAACTGCGGGCGAAAGTACACCTTTAAACCAATACACAGGTCTCAGGGCACGGATGAAAAGCTTCACCACCAAGTCTCGAAAATAAAAATGGCTCTTCAAAATACATTATTTCGAAAACATTTTAGCAGCACACAGTCATGTCAACTCCAATCAGTCAAAAATCACGACTGAGCGCAAAACAACTGCAATGTTATCAAAACATCAATAGTAATAAAACATTTGACTTTGCACCATATCTGGCGAACATTGTTAATTATTGTTTTGACGGGTCTGAGTGCTAGTGGCATTATATTTTTGATGTGAAGCTAACATTTTTTAGTAATCGGTTTGTGGTACATTTTATGACGTTTTGCGGTGAATGTGGCGGTGTTTTGGTAACGGTTCTCTTTCCTTTTAACAACCCATTTACAACCGAAGGCTTCCACATTGGAAGTTGTGTCCTTCTGCTAAGTGATGTCAATCATTTGACAGTCACACAAAGGATAATGACCTACCTGGCTGCACCACAACACGCGGAAATGTGTAGCACCGTAAGATCTGACTTGGGTCTTTGAAGAGTGGAGTGGAATGGTATTCCCCAGTAGTTTCACTTGGGTCCCAAATAAGAATGCAAAAGAAATCTCAGCTCTTCCTAGCTCATGCCCTCGAAATGAATACATCAATAATCTGTTTGGCGGTAAAGCCACCCCCTCTATCAACGCCCCCCTTTCCTAGATGCTAGATCCGCCCCTGCTGCTCCCCCCCCCCCACCCCCACCCTCCTCCAAAAAAAATCCCTAACCCTTTCGTTTAATTTATGGCCACCCTGATGAGAATATCAAGAATATTTGCGGGTTTGAAATGGAGTGGCATCACAGCAACAATTATCGTAAGTGCAGTAACTGACAGAGTATTGTGTTACAGGCAACCTCGCAACATGTACTTTGAGTTCGGCAGTGTCCGTGCATGTATTCATTAGTATTATATCAAATCTTCTTCCAACGATATTCGCAGTCATTTTTCACCGGCCATAAAACAGGTGAAAGGCAATGATCATAATATCGAATAATGTAATCAGTTTCAAAGTACGTCCGAAATTAGATTGCCTTTAATTTGTTGAGTTGACAGCAGTTTCCTTAAGTTTTACCCCTAAAACTCCAGTCTAAAAAGAATACATAGGATAAGAGCAGAATTAAGAATTCTGACTGATTGACAATGGGACAGTTACTCTCTCGTATCTATCCACCTTTTACAGTATACGATCTGAGCAGGGCTGTACGCAATGCCATCGAACTTTTGTAATCAACATATTCCCCAGGGAACCCTGGATAGAAAAAAAAAACCAAAACACTAATGCGATGCCATGAAATGGCCGTTTAGTCGTACATGGGTGTAGATCAGGATTGAGTGACAAGAGCTAAGGCTAGAACGTATCTAGTTTCGGCTGATCTGGAAATCAGTTAAAACGTGCGCCCTGCCTCGCTTGAACCACGACGCCAGTCGCGATTTTGGGAGACCAACAAAAAAAATGTGATCGGGATGTTTTCAGCGATGTTATTAACGTTATCTGGACCAATATGACAATATTTAATGTTTCCTGATATCAAATCGATAACAAGGCTCCGTTACTGCATACGAAATAGACAGTAAGACGCTTGAGTGAATTACCCCTTGTGACTTCATATCATGTTTTTAATTGGATAGATTTTTGGCTGCAGCGATCAGACAACTTGACATTAATATTATGACCGTTTAGTTTGACACGATTTTTTTAAAGAAATAAATATTTGAATGATTTTCAAAATGACTATTATACGACACAACATTTCATTTGATTCTCCAATGTCTGAAATTTCATGATAAAATTGATTGCAGTTGTTTTGATATTGGGATGAACATTTCCGGGTGCAGGTTTTTAAAAAATAAAATATATCTAGTCAGGCTGTGGATTCCAAAAGTTAGATCTAAAGTTCCATGTAACCGTTTCCTGAAAATTAAAGGGTAACAAAATTGATTGTCTGCTCTTCAACCCTAAATTTTGATGTGCGCGCTAACCCACGAAGCAACTTTCATTGAAATACAATACGACTAAGAAGCGATATATCCCGGTTTACCATTTTTTAAATTAATTAAACACTAATTGAAAATTATCCAGGATTTCGGTAAGGTGATTGACAAGAAAGCCACGAAATTGTTGCTACTGGAAATTCAAAATCCTGTTGGGAGATTTTGTTTAATCTCATCGATGGACTATTTTTGTAGGTATAGGGCAAACTGATCATTAAATCTTACAGTAGGCATGGATCAACTCTTTGGGTGAAAGGATTATGGTCTTTGATTGCAGCAATGGGCACATTTCTCGTTTCTCAGATCCAAGTAGAAATGAAATTCTCCTGAAATGTTTGGGTGAGCTCATTAAAAAATGTATTTAATAAATAAAAATAATGAAAAATAACTGGATCACAACAACAATCTCGTTTTTTCATCCAAAGTTTATCTCAGTTTGTGGGATGCTTTCGAACCGATCTAGCGAACTTAATTCTCCATAGTGTATCTTTTTATTAGGATCCAACCATTCAGGGTAATTACTCCGTACTATTATGACTATTGTATTTTGCGACCTAGCTGCGCCGGCAATCGGCAACAGCGCCCCAATTTGTGAGGTAATGTCTTATTCCTGATGATCAGCCCAATTGGATTTCAAAAGCCCGTCTCGCGGCGGGTTCAACGATGACAGACAGAAGCGAGATAATGGACTTCAGAGGTGCCCGGGAACTTGGCTTGTACGTGCAGGGAAGGTCGTGGCAATACTGCCATTTTGTGCCCAAGTGCAGTGGCCAAGAATAAAAATGGCGTCTATTAAAAATAAAAAGACGCGGAGGTGTGAAATTTGTCCACAGCAAAAGAAACGATTAGTTGTTCTCTCGCTCCCTTCCTCTTTTTTGATGTGATGTTTGAAATGGTGACACATTAACGGCTCGGAAATTCGCAACCTGTTTATTTGAGACTCGTGGTTTTTTTTTTTACTGAATGAAATTGGCCTCCACCGCCTCCGCATCTTGTGGCGTGACGTGGCGCGGAAGCCAAGAACGAACTGCGTCAGTTTTGAAAACGTAGACAGGTTCCTCCTCCTCCTCCAACATCTCATAAAATGAAAGTCATTCAATAACCACCGCGGTTTCATTCCAGTTCTGTCTTTCAGCGATGCAACGATACGGGATATAAAAGCCAGGAAGAAAAAAACAAATAAAGTGAGAGACAGAGACAGAGAGTGGGGGATATTCTACACGAGGGAAAATAAACAAGATCATTTGGCTAGCGTGCGGCTTACGGGGCTGGAGTCTGAGGCTGTGTAGCGAGCGACAGAGGGGTTAGCGGTGGCGCTTGCCGGTCTGGGAAGGTCTCGCGCTGCATGGACGGTAGTCGTGATAACGTGGGCGAAGTCTGGCGATCCTAGTGTGTGTATGTGTACACCTTCACCTTGGCTGTAGCTAGCTGCCTGCCAATAACCCGTCAGCGTGGATGGGCAGTGCAGGCACCAGGGCTTAATACCCCTTCGCTCACTTGTGTTTTCCTTTAGCGCCGCATCATCGCTTGGACATCGTCATTGACACGTGGAAGTGGAGAATGGCAAAGTAGTGCATCAGGGGAGTTAAGGTAAGAAGAAGTTCGCTAGATTAAATGCAGGTAATTTCCATCAATTGTTGATATTGAATTTGTGAGAGCGGGCGCTCCGGCTCCTAATTATCACTTGGGAAATAACTATTGGTATATACAACGCAATAAGGCGACACAGCCCATTATTTGCCATGCACGTACAGTGCCACGTGCTCGAACAGAGAAAAGAAACATCGCGCGCGTTTTGCGGTTCAAAATTGAAAGGAAGATGCCATTAGATGTGGTTACGACATTACAGACATTACAAGAATATTCATGGGCATGTGTTTCTTGCACTTTCACGAATTAGCTTTGGACTACTTGTTTGAATAGGCATCTGGTATAGAGTTTTAAAAAGTTTAGGCCCTAATTAGTTTAGGTACAAGATTTTAAGTAGAATTTGTATAAGCCATTTTTATTTTCAACAGAAATAATAAGAATTGTTTATTTATTTCGGCCATTTTGATAAGGGTGACTGATATTGACGTGATTTATATTTTTTGGCACTATTTTATCACTCGAGCCTGCAATCTGCGTTGGCTTATTCATTTCTTGTTATTTCTTGGTACATGGTGAAATAACTATGACACAAGTCGACGGCGATCAATTAAAATTCAGTGAATCAGCGCCGATTATGCAGCAGACCGGTGCTTAGACGATTATTAGCATGCCGGAAACAGGCAGAAATGAGGTCATTGTATTACTGTCTTGCAATATTATGTGATTAGACTTGTGTAGTTCGTCGACCTTTTTTATTTATTTGCACTCGGAGCCGCTTTGATTAAAATCGGACGACTGACATTTTTGCAATGATGCTTGTGCTGGAATTGTGAACTGGCCTGGTTTTGGTTGAAACACTGGCCTGGATTTTGGTTGAAACACAGATGTAAATGGTCTGTACGTTATTGCAGTTTTCTTTGTGTAATATTTTTGCTTGTGTCAGAGTGGCGGATGGCAGGATTTCAAAAAGGGGGGTAGGGGAAGTCCAAGATTGTCCAAAAGGGATGCATTAGATGTTACAAGTCATCGATTTTGTTATTTTTAGTTTTTACCTGATACAATTATGTTGCTTTTCACGATAGAATGACACATTATTGGCTAGCTATTTTGAGAATCATACGTATCACTTTGCCCCTACTTTCCTACAAAGAGACTGCCAATATACATCACCTCTTTCCTTCCCAATCAATTCTTTCGACGGTCCATGAGAATAAGGCTACCCCACGAACCGCTATCTCCTCACTGTGTTGAACTCTTCAACTTTGGGGGAAAAAAAAAACAGTATCAATCAAGTCTGATGTGGACTTGTTGACGGTCGACTGGGAGCGAGTCTAGCCTTCATCTTAAACTAACCCATTTTCTGTAATATCCAAGCGTCTGGCCGTGTCTAGCATTTCAATCATCTTGGACCCTGCCGTGCCAACAAAGAAGGAAGAGAAAAGAGATATAGAGAAGGAAAAAAACAAGAGGGGGGAAATAAGAAGAGCTTGGGGTGCTGACCTGGTGCCTATTAATACCCGAGCCTCTCCCTCGCCGATCTAAAGGGAGGACCACTGAAAGATGTCTCCGCGTCAGTCGCTGCTGAGATGAAAATTATCATCTTCTGTTTTACCGAGATGGGTTTTATTCTGGGCTCTCTGCTGAAGGTGTTCCGTATAATCATGCGTGAGCATGCGTTTGGCCCCGCAGTAAAGCTAAATGATTAGACTTTTATCAACTCATATTCTGAGGACCGGAGGGTTTCTCAGTTTCTCGGAGCAATGCCGAAGGAAATATAACCCAGACTCGAGTTTTAACAAGACAGCTACAGGCGAATGGATGCAAATAGTTCTACTTTACGATTGGGGGTTGGGATGTCCTCAAGTAAAAATGTTCACGATATGCAGTCCTACGTACTCACGGCTCCAGTTTTTCGCTTTCCCGGAGCGTGGCTTCCAGGCTTGCGTGACTAATTTTCCAAAGGTGCGTGCCAATGCCATCGACGATGGAAAAGACGGGAAAGGAAACAAAATAACCGTAGTCTCTTCTGTTTGCCAGCCAATATCATGAAAAGGGCGTAGACAAAAAGGATTCGTAGCTTTGGGGAATTTAAAGGGGACGGTTTGGTTTAACAGGCGGGTAATAAAGTGTCCTTATTATTTTACCGTCTGAGAATCGTCCATGTTTTGAAGTTTGTCTATTTTCGATAGATAATGATTTTGTACCGATGCAGAAATTGACCGTAATTCAAAACCACATGCTGAATGTTTCCACTAAAATGTCGCTCTCTGTATCCACTAAAATAATTGTCTGGCCTCTTGCAAATTCAGAAGCCTTGGAATGTCTACAACCATCGAAATATGACAACGGAAGACATCAAGCAACAAGGCCAAGGCAAGCCTATACAAAAGCAGATCCCAGCTGAAATATTATATTCAACTGATTCAAAATTGCTATTCATTGGAAGACTTTACATTCATCTGTGTACACAATCGGCTGGATTTACCTCCATTCATTGGCGTTACAGGGTACTCCTATACGATAACACTGCCCGGATCAAAGGTGACAATGAGTCAGTGAGTCTGTGAAGTGCCAAGAGGACATAATGACAACTGTCAGTTCCAAATAAATGACCCACACGATGGCGTAGGCCTAACAGGCATTTTGTGAGACTTCCTTCTGATCAATGTTGTACGATTGCGATAGAAATAGAGTCGGCAAGAATCTGATATAGCGACGGAATACAATTAAAGTTTTGCTATCTGCACGAACATGAATTGCGATTTGATAAAGTGGTGACAGCGTGACAGTGTAAGGGTTCTGTAGCCTGAGTAATTACCGTATTTCCAGTCGTTTTATTCCGTGTACGGATTTGCTAATGCAGTACCATGGTTTTCGGGCTTCCCGCCGCTGGAATGAAAGAAGAAACAGAAAAAGAGAGAATGAAAAGGGTAATCGAAAACCCGTGTTTAGAGATACATCAATGGTTTATTCAGAGCAAGAAGAATGGGGCAAGGGTGTACATGAACATGCATTGCGTGTTGGCCGCGCCACGGTCGTCCATAGCTGCCCCGAATCTGACAAGAATGCTTTGTCGGGCGGCGACACGTCGGTGTTGCCTTACCAAAGAGGTTTACATCAACGTTAAGGTCAAAGCCGAGAGACTACACATGGAGTGCAATGGTCGGACCATCCGTCCCAACTGAACGCTCCGTTGTACGGTCATGTCCGGTATCGGGAAGCCAAACCGTACGTACATTATTTTCTTGTGCGTGGACCACTGCAGTCGCCATTACGTCATCGACGGCGCAATTTAATTGGCCTTCAGGTTCAAGTTCAGAGGTCAGCTTTTGGCGCGAAGTCACGTTGCGGTGAGTTGAAAAAAAAACATGCTCATCTAAATTTCGACATTTATAATTTTGTAATCTTTTGGATAACATGGATTCATGCATTCCACAAATTATCAGAATTATATCAATACATGTAGTTCTTTGACCTTCTTCGTTTGCAACTACTACATGCAACGGATACAAAACCCAAACTTTCCCTAATGATCAACCTGTATTTTGTATGATATGACTTTTTAAGGATAATCTTTATGAGGAAGATCTCCATGAATTGCGTAAAAATATATCTGCATTTTCGAAGCACATAAGCTGTAAAAAAAAAAAAGCAGACCCTTGTAAAATAGTGAGAAATTTCAAATCAATGAACATACCATAAGGAAAACATCTTTAACGAAATATAGACAAAACAACAAGGCACAGAAACAGTTCAGCATCGGCAAATAAGACTTCAAGGGATGTAAACGCTAGAGGGCGCAATTCCTGTCCGTCATTAAACAGATGCAAGAGTGGACAAGTGTAGCCACTGGGATGAATTCTAGTCAGTTTATAATTTAATTCGAAATGTCTTCTGAGGTATCGAGACTAGGCATTATCCCCATCAATGCACAGGTTCACGTAGTTGACTATTTTTCGTCTCTCTTTAAAGAGCAGCGCAAGACACCGCCCACGTGTTTGAAAATGGCGTATCCATTTTTGTAATCTGATTAACTTACAACATCCAATACACGTGCTTAAGTTCGTTTATTTGCCATCCAATAATTCATCTTGCAAGACGTTCCCGAGTCCGGCTGACATTTGGGTTTCTTCCCACTCGCCCGAGATGATGACAGTTTTGTCAGAAGCGGGGTTGAAAATTGTATTACCATTACTAAGGAGAGGTTCAATTTAATGGCGCGTGTCTGTAAGCTATTTTGGAATTAAAGGGACTCTTGGCGGTTTGGCTACCCTACCGGTTCGCATATGAGTGAGCCCTCTCGTGGCTTAGTTATGTGTGAATATATTGGCTGTTATTGGTACAGGCAATGGTCATGTTCTCAAAACTCGATTTCTCCTCCAGCTGCGGCTCCATCCCCAGCTCCAGACTATTTTGAGAAGCCTTAACTGTCAAAAAGAAATCTAGAAAATGTTCGTTTTGATGTTCAGAATGAACCCAGTGAGACTGTAAGTTTTCTTAGTCCGAAGCCGAACAGGAGACGAAACCGTGGTTTGGAAACCACCTTTATGACACAAGATTAAGAAGGCTCGGTATGGGCTCGCTGAATCTGGACAAAAATTACATCCAGACCGGGGTTTTGCTCTCTCGTGAGAGTACAGACCGGCCAGGTCATAAACAGATGTATATTAACGTGTGACCCCTGACTGACAGACGGGGGAATTTGCTTAATACCCAAGCACAATGTAAATGTCATTCGCATGTCATGACATTTAAGCGGTAATCTAGTTTATCTCAGCACAACCTGTATCTTGGCAAAATTGTGTGCTTGTATTCGGTATTCGCGTGAAAATTCACCCGTAGCATACGGCTGGGCTCGCATCTCATCGGAATGATACACTATCGCACAAACAATATACGTGATTAACGGTCGGAATATATACACCACTGCATCGACTGTTTGGGAAGACATAATTGAATTGGGGTGTTCTTCAATTTCTAAAAATGACTCATGCTATCGA